AAAAGAAAGATAACGACTCCTAAGACCAGAAAGGACCTGGTTCCAGACATCCCCAGAAACGACTTTTACCCAAAGTTCCTGCCCTAGGATCCACCAAACACCCCACCACCCCCAGTATCAGCCCCCCCCTCCATCCCGCATCCCCCATCCCGCCCCCCAGTGGGGGGGGGGTCGGTGGGGGGTGTTTGGTGGATCTAGGCAGGACTTGGTAAAGTCTTTCTGGGGATGTCCTGGAACCAGGTCTTCTGGTCTTAGGAGGTCTTGACCAGGTCGTAGACGTAGATGTGGAAGTCGTCGTCGAACTTGATGAAGTAGACGGAGGGTTTGGCCTCCACCTGGTGGATGACCATCCCCGACCGCTTCCCGCCGTCCTCTTTGGCGTACTCCACCTGTTTGCCCACCAGACTGTCGACCACCTCGCCGGGCTCCCGCTCCGCCGTCACACTGTCGTCTACGAGAGAGAGAGAGACTGTTGTTACCACGGCAACAGCAGTAAACACTAACTATCTTAATCCTCTGAAAACTAGAATCACCTCCTCGTGGTCGTATCCCTCCGCCACTCAGACTAGATCCAGTTTACATCCTGTTTATCCAGAGTCATTAAATATGAACCATTGGTGTGAAAATCTGTCTAAATTACTGTGTGGAAAAAGTGTTTTCTGGCGTCACTGTAACCTTGACCTTTGACCCCTAAAATCTAATCAGTTCATCCTTGAGTCCAGGTGAGTGTTTGCGTCAAATTTCTGTGTTAAAGTGTTCGGCGTTAGATATCGTGTCCATGAGAATGAGATGGACGGACAACCTGAAAACAAAATTGCGGCTCTGACTGTCGCCGGCGGGGAGGAATGATAATGAGAAATAATCAGCTGATTAATCAATAATGAAAACTCACTGGAGTCGGGCATGATGCGGAGGTCTCCCTCCTTGTAGTCGTCCAGCAGCTGGTACATGTAGAGGACCGGGTCCTTCTCGTACGTGATGTAGAACCAGGACGTCATGATGGGCGCTCGGGCCAGAACCATCCCCCTCCACTCCTCCTTCGGCCCGTCCTCCGTCTCAAACATGTGCTCCACCGCTTTACCGATCATTGTCTCCGCCAGCAGCGAGTCGCTGACACGGGCCGGAGCTGGGCCGACCACAGGGAGAGAGGGAGAGAGAGAGAGAGAGAGAGAGAGGGAGGGAGGGAGAGGGAGAGAGATCAGTTCACTCCTCTGTCTCTTCTGGAGAAAAAACAGGTTCAGTTCTGATTGTTTATTAAATTTACTCATCATCTGTAAAAACCTCATTACCCAGACTCCTCAGCTCCTTGCTGCCTCCTCTGGCTCAGTAACAGCTGACTCTACTTCTGTAACGTCTAAAAAGCTCAAAGCGTTCGTTTCCAGTTTTTCAGATGTGACAAACTTCTGCTTTTGTTTGTTTGACTTTCTAATAAAGTTTCTAATTCAGTTCTCCACAGAACTGAACCACATGAAAATATTTTAACTGACGATGACGAGATGTTTGTTGTTCTTGTTCCTTCACGTCTGGAGAACATGATTTGTAGTCCTGGGCGTCTCTGTAGGATGCTAATGCTAACAATGCTAATGCTAAAAAGGAACAACAATGTGACACCTTCATTAACTAAATCACAGCTGCTGAGATTTGGATATTTCACTTGGCCATATTGTGATGTCGATTATATTTTGATTAATTGTGCTTCCTGTTTAGCTTAATCAGCTCGTTCAGGAACACGTGTCCTTCCTCACCCACTCTGTCGGGCAGCACCTCCAGCCCCACCACCCGCTCGTCGCTGTACAGCTCCAGGCCGTAGATGCAGTCGAAACCGTCGTATTTGATCAGGTAGAGGGAGGGGTTGACGGGGACCTGGTCCAGGACCGTCCCCTTCCACTGAGACGACTTACCTGAGAGGACACAGAGACACGGACACACTCAGGCTGCTTCATGACATTTAAAGAACAAAACATCAGTTCATCCAAACATCGCAGTGAAGGGAACTTACTGCCCTCCTTCCAGATGTGCTGGATCCTGCAGCCCACGATGTTCCTTCTGGGCTGAGCCAGAGTCTTACTGGGACCAACACTGGTCCTCTGTTTCCTGCAGGGAGGGAGGGATGAAATGAAACAGAGAAGAAGAGAATAAAGGTAAGAGAAAGAGGAACCTAAAGAAACCTATTTATTATTTAAAAAGGTACGATATGAAAAGACACATGTACAAACTGACTTACTTGTGTGAGTTCTTCTTCTTCATCATGTTTGCAGACACGCCTGAATGTCCTGAAACACAAACATACACATTCAGTGTCGCACTGACCGGTGGTGCGTTCAAGGACGCTCTCACCTCTGAGGTCAGTTCAGAGGGTCTGTGTCATGTGATCAGCTGTCAGACGCTGACTTGACCTTCAGTGAACTTTAAAATCTTTCATCTTTAAAACTGATGCCTGTGTTGAGTGAGTCAGTCATGAGTTAGTTCAATGTTGAATATTTCAACAGTTGAATTATCTGTAAACTCAGACGTCTGCTGCAGGTATTTACACTTTACACTACATTACCCATGAGCCTCAGCTGCTGTTACTATGGAGAGGAAGCCAGTCAGAGGTCAGCAGAGTCAGAACATCTAACTGTTGTTTCAGGTTTCTGAAACAATGTTATTTTTTCGCCGTTAGTGAAGCTCTGTGATTGGACGGTATTTAGTGAAATGCACCATGGGAGTCGTAGTAATCGTCTTTCCTCTGCTCCGGGAACTCACCCCCGTCCGCTCGGGGCCGCGGGGCCGCTGGGCTCTTGAATGGGGTCTTCATTCATCCACCTGTAGGGGGCAGCCAGCCAGGCCACCGGTCCAGACTAAACACTGGGAGTCTGGCTGCGTGGTGGTGAGAGGGGTGGGGGGGGGTGAGGATGGAGGGAGGGGGCAGGGGGGAGGAGGGTAGGGAAAGGAGGGAGGAGGAGGTGGTGGGAGAGAAGGAGCACCAGGGATTAGACCAGGCCCCAGACAGGCTGCATACGGGCCGGGTACAGACTAACACCTGGAGAATAAGGCGACACCACAGCTGATGGACTCGATGAGGAAAACAGTGTGTTCAGCCTGAGGAAGGAAAACACACACACACACACACACACACACACACACACACACACACACACACACACACACACACACACTTAATAGATCAATTTTCTATCCGTCAATTAATTCATTGATCAACTAATGCAGCTCTCTCGAATAATAGGAAGATAATAAAAGAAAAATAACTATCATATGTTAAAGAAGAAGAATGAAAAATGTTTTGTTCAGTTTGTTTCCAGACAAACAGAACACGTCGACAAACAGGGACATTTTGCATATAAAATGGTTTTAAATTAATTAACAATTTTCTGATTAACTGATTAATCAATTCATGGATGACAACAAGGACAGAATCAATCAGCTGTTTTCCTGCCCTCTCTCTTCCTCCCCTCCCTCTTCCTGCCCTCTCTCGTCCTGGCCTCTCTCTTCCTGCCCTCTCTCTTCCTGCCCTCTCTCTTCCTGCTCCCTCTTCCTGCCATCTCTCTTCCTGCCCTCTCTCTTCCTGCCCTCTCTCTTCCTGCCCTCTCTCTTCCTGCCCTCTCTCTTCCTGCCCTCTCTCTTCCTGCCCTCCCTCTTCCTGCCCTCTCTCTTCCTGCCCTCTCTCTTCCTGCCCTCTCTCTTCCTGCCCTCTCTCTTCCTGCCCTCCCTCTTCCTGCCCTCTCTCTTCCTGCCCTCCCTCTTCCTGCCCTCTCTCTTCCTGCCCTCTCTTTCTTTAAACAACTGACAGACTGGGTTTTATCTGATTAAATTTCACACTTTTAAAAACATTTTTAATGACACAAACAATAATATGTAATAATATAATAAATGCTATAATATCAATTACATAACAATCAATTAATGTGACATGGACACACTGAACAGGTCTACAGGTCTTGAGCCAGAGCCTCAATATGAAGTGACTGTTAATATTTCTAGTGTGAAAGTAGGAGCTCAGTTACAAGACTCATGATTATTCTCTGAATCTTCTTCTATGATTATTTTATTGTTCAAACAATTAATTAAAAAATAATCAGCAGATTAATCCATAATGAAAATACTTGGTGCCGCCCTGGATTTTAATCATTTCATTATTATTAATCTGCTAAAATACAATTAATCAAAGAATAATAGGAAGATAATAAAAGAAAAATAACTATCATATGTTAAAGAAGAAGAATGAAAAATGTTTTGTTCAGTTTGTTTCCAGACAAACAGAACACGTCGACAAACAGGGACATTTTGCATATAAAATGGTTTTAAATTAATTAACAATTTTCTGATTAACTGATTAATCAATTCATGGATGACAACAAGGACAGAATCAATCAGCTGTTTTCCTGTCCCTGTATTCTGAATATCACTGTATGAGTTTATTTCTTATCATGAACTTGATGTTAATTCTTTGTTTGTGGCCTCGTCTCTTTGAAGCTCAATAGAATCTATAAGAACAGATATTTCCACATTAAAAGGTCACTGAACGCAGCGTGTGAATAATAACTGTGTTCTCACTGATTTACTGTCTGAAGACAAAAACCAAACTGTCAGTAAAAATCAGGATAAACTTTAATCCAGCAGCAGCAGCAGAGGGAAAATCCCCTGATAACCAGAGAAATATTTCTGTCTTACAAGGTCACAGACACAACAACAGCAGCACAGACACACAGCGGCACTGAAACCATGTCAACAGGATGATTCCCTCTGAAACTCACTCCCCATGTTTACAGCTTCGTTCTGATAGAACAACAGATAAACACAGACGAGTTCTGCAGAGCTGCACAACAACAACCACCACAACTGCAACACAAACCACACACACACACAGACCTGCTGCTGCTGATCACAACATGCTGCAGTAACACTACACCACGATCAGGCCAGGATCAGACCAGGTTCAACCAGACCGAGGAAGGAGGAGGAAGATCTGCTCCTCTCAGCATCATCATCACACCTAGGGCTGAACGATTAATTGAAAATCGCAATATTTCCAAGTGCAACATCCAAATCGCAGGAGCTGCAATTTTTTTGATGAAGGTAAAATGTGTCTCACATCGTTGTGCAGTGTTAGCAGCATCAGTGTTGTGGTGCTACAGAGACGCCCCGGCCTACAGATCATATTCTCCAGACGTAGAGGAAACATGTTTGTTTGGTACAAGAACAACAACAACCACATCATCGTCATTTTTATATTTTTTTTTCAGTGAAAATTAAATGTAAAAACAATCATTCCCACTGAAATCACAATATTTTTCTTTTTTGCATATCGTACAGCCTTAATCACACCCAATAAAAGAACGTAACTGTGTCTGAGTGTTTCCTACAGCACACCGATGCTGGGCCGGATCCGTCCTGGATCTGAGTCTTAGCAGAGCTGCTTTCAAACCCTGAGGCAGCCAAAATCAAAAAGTGTCACGAGGAGCCGAAACCAGGTGATCCACAGACAAGAAACAGAAAGTCGATTAAATATCCAGGCCTGCAGCTGAAATGATTAGTTGACTAATCATTTAGTTAATCGCAAAAAATATGAATCAGCAACGAAGGCATCATTACGATACGAGTCCGAGGTGACGTGATCAAATGTGTTGGTTTGTTCAGTCAAACATCTTGAGTTCAACAGAGAAGCAGCATGTTTCTGCTCAGACACTGTTTGAGAGATACTTGAAAACAACATCATTAACTCCAAAATCAAAGTCGTTGACTAATTATTTGACTGATTGATTCAACTCTAATCTGAACTATGTCTCTCACGTCGCTTTACAACTTGTTAAATTGACTTTTATATTTAGTCCTTATATTTAAATAAAACTAACAGCAACAGATCAAAGACTAAAACTCTCTTGTGTTATAACTTACAAGTTAAGATCTGAATCGGTATATATAGCATAAATATAGCATATATTTAATCACACTATCATTTTTAACCCTGAAGATGAGCCTGTTTCCTCATAAAGGGACAATTCTGTCCTCCCAAAATATTGTAAGGGACATGTCCCTACCGTCCATATGCAAACCTCCGCCCTTGAATACGAGTCAAAGTACGAAAAATATCTTTTAAAAACACTCTTCATGCAGCAGGTAAATACAAAGTGCATGAATTTACTGACCTTCACACCACATTGTTCTGTACCTGCTCCGCCCTCTGACAGGCTTCACTACTGGTAAACTCCTTCACAGAACTAAAGTTGCATCCAGTAACTACTATTTTTTGTCAGCACTTCCCTGCTACTTGAAACAAAAAATCCTAATAATATAATTATTTAATCATTAAGCTCGACCTGCATCTGAACAGTACGGTGGCTGACAAGGGCAAACCTGCTGCAAAGGCCAAAACACTGCCACAAAGAGAAAAGAGCTGCAAATTCATAAACGATGCAGATTCAAAAACAAATACAAGAACAGAAACATGTCGCAAATGAAAAAACATGCTGCAGGAAGTTAAAAGAAAAACATGAACTGGAAACATGCTGCAAATACAGAAACGATGCAACAACAATAACACACAAAACAAATGCAACAGAAAAAACGCTGCAGATCCAGACGACACAGCGGAAGAGCTCCAGACCTCTAGGGGGAGCTCTAAGCATTAGCTTTAGCTTCAACCTAAGCGGCCAGACCTATGACCTGACCTTTGACCCTGGACCAAACGAGAGCGAGTGTGGGGAGAAAGAAGAGGCAACATAAAAAGGTTTGTGTTCTTTTTTTACATTTGGCTGTAGTTTTAACAATGTTATAAAAGAGCGACAGATAACGTAGCAAGTGTTAGCGTTAGCTTATATCCAGTCTATGGGTGTTCCACTGAGAGCTCCCCCTAGAGGCCTGGAGCTGTTCTGTTGTGTTGTCTGGATCTGCAGCATCTTTTCTGTTGCACTTGTTTTGTGTGTTTTTGTTGTTGCATCGTTTCTGTATTTGTGTTTGTTGTTCATGTTTTTGTTTTTACTTCCTGCAGCTTGTTGTTTCCGTTCTTGTATTTGTTTTGTATTTTCATGTGTTTTTGAATCTGCATCTGCATCGCTTCTGAATTTGTAGCACGTTTCTCCTAATGCAAAGTGTTTTGGACCGTTGCGGTGTGTTTGCCCTTGTCAGCCACCGTAGAATAGGGATTGATGGACTGATGGACGGAATAATCAATTAAAAAGAACTAATGTGCCTAAGATCTGCATATATGTTTCACATCAAATCAGAGGTTGTGAACAGCAGCACTGGGGATTTTCCACACAAACACATTCTGTAAGTAACTTGAGTGGCTACACAGACTTCAGGACATGAAAGTTAAGACTTTCTAATAACTTCAAAGGCCTTTCCGTCTTTGAGGAAACTACAGTCAGAGCTCTTTCAGCAGTTTGAGACGTACAGCTCTCCTGACTTCACTAAACACATCAACACCTGACCAAACTGCAGTGAGCTCACCTGAGTTTACCTGACAGCAGACAGACAGACAGAAAACTCTGCATCCTAAACCCAAACACAACACAAACCTCTGTCAGCTCAGCATGTTTCTTCCTGTGTCCTGCATTCTCTGCATTTCTTCCCCCCACATTGTTCTTGTATTTACAGAATAATAATGCACACACACACACACACACACACACACACACACACACACACACACACACACACACACACACACACACACACACTGCACAGTACGTGTTTGTGAGTGGACATCACTTTAAAGTCTGCAGGTCACATTAAAACGAGCAGGGTTTGATTCATGTGTTTTCACTTAACACAACAGTTGTGGTGATGAGTTGCTGGTTGTTGTGGCTGATGATGATGATGAAGATAACCAGCCAGAGGTCACAGTTTACCGTCCTCACTAACTGACCACCGTACTACCCGCCCCGCTGGTTACTCTGTTACATTTTTTAAATATGCGCACAGGTAATTGGTTAACGGCCCCCAGACGGCGGCCATGTTGCGCCAGTATTTACAAAACCCGCATCGGTGCAAAAAAAAAAAAAAAAAAAAAAAGGCGCAAGCGAACAAAGGGAAAGGGGAGGTCTGTTAGCAGAAAAACACTGGCGCTAAACTAGCTGCTTTGCGGTAAAACGTCGAAGCGGACAAACAGCCCGGTAAACGGCTCGGTCGACGGTGCGAGAGGCCGCAGTTTCTTACCGATACAGCAATCAGTGTCGCCGCATAATCCCGATCAACCGCCGTGGCTCCAAATTGATCCGCTCTGCCTCCGTTTGGTTCTCCACTGCGTCAAGTTAACTGCGCCAAGATGGAGGGCGGGCGGAAACGAGGCGGTGAAGGCTTCAAAATAAAAGCGCGAATTTTGATGCAATGCGTTTTTTTCCAATTTCTTTTGTATTTATTTATGATTCTGATTTGTGTTTGTTTGTTACCTATCTATCTTATATGGTTTTCCTGTAACTCAGTTCTTATTTCTGCCTATCGTGGCCAGGACACTCAAAAAAATCTTTTTTAATTTTACTGAGGTTTTTCTGGTTAAATTAAAGTTTGGACAAAGTGAAGATTGTTGTTGGTTTTCATTTTGGTTTATTTGTTTTCCATCTTGTTTGTTGCGTTTCATTTACTTCACTGTGTCTGTGTGTATGTCTAAAAACAAGTTAGTTATCCATTAGTCAGTTATCGCAAAACGTATCTAAAACTATTGCATTAATCAATTAATTGTTTGAGCTATTTTTCAAGCTGCACAATAGCTTGTCCAAACTTCAAATTGTGAGGATTTGCTGCACATATTTTCTTATGCAACAAGATCTTTGTGTTTTTGATTGGCATTTCAAAATCATTTGTCTTGGACTTGGAATTTTATTGTTTTCTGAAATTTTAAAGAACAAACAATATTATTGATTGATCTAGAAAATCACTGGCAGATTAACAGATACTTGTATACAGTTATTACTAGTCAAATTAGATTTTATTTATGTAGCCAAATCTCACAAATCACACATTTGTCTCAAGGGGTTTAACATCTGTACAACACCCTCTGTTCTTAGACCCCCAAAGCGGACAAGGACACACTCCCCAAAAAACCCTTTAACAGTTAAAAGTTGATGAAAGCTCAGACAGACCGACATGCATGTATACATAAGCAACATAGCAAACTTGGACAATCAGGATAACAAAAATATAGTTGCAGGCAGCAGCTTTTATATTTACTTTAGGGAAAACAGGATACCCATCTGGTAACTAAAATTCGGTTGCTTGAAAAAAGTTTGTTCAGGGCGAAGTCACATTTACACAGAATTTAAAAGAAACTGTTATATTCATACATAATCTTCAATCCATTAAATCTGAAAACATCGTGCCAGTTGTGTCGGAACTTGTGGCCACGCTTTTATTTTGAAAAACGCTGGCCGGATGTGCGATGTATTACGCTGGCTGTCTTGACGCTGGTTGTTGTGCAGGTTTGCATTGAAGCCAAAAATTCTTGCACCGCCGAGTCCCGCCTTTCTCCCTCTTGCTAAATAGTGGTCCAGCAGAGTGTTGGCAGCGCGGTTTGCCGCTGGCTCTTCCTGCCAAATACCGAGACTGTCTGTTGACCTGTTTTTCTCACAGGCGGAGCCGTGACAGCGCAACCGTTAAAATACGAACAGTATTTGGTCTTTGCTGTGCGCTGAGACATTAAACATAATGACACCGCGCGTTGCACACAACGCTAAGTTAATAAAACACTCACTGCATTGTAGTGCGGACGGCGGCTCAGCAGGCGGCGCGCTACTTACTGGATACAAAGATAATGAGTTACTATTAACGTCTGTGCTGATCCAGAGTCAGATCTTTTAGCTATGAACTGAGTAATGGAGATTCGAACACGACTATAAGCTGATCTGGGAACTGCTAGCACCACGCGCCGGGGAAAACGCGTTCGATTTGAGAAGAGGAACGACCCATTGGGGCGGTGTTGTCCCTTTTAAGCTATATTTGAAGAACATGAGGTAACTGCCGCCCACCCGGGAGACTGTGATACAAAAAACAACGCGACAAATTGTTAAATTACAATCAGAGCTGAGGAATTTAGGTAAAAACGAAAGCCGAGCCCCCGCCACAGTTTACCGCTCCGGTTGTGAGCCCACTGTAGTCGAAGTCCATGATAGCGCAGCAGAAACGTAGTTACAATCCACACAGCGGGACACCCTGGAAGAGACGGAGAACCCTCAGGAGGATGCCGGGCAACGCGGACTTGATGTGAGCATCGTTACGGCAAGATGTGAGATGAACCGGGAGAAAACAGCGACCGAGGCCAACGACATCATGTTGGTCCGGAGCTCGGTAAGCGGTGCGCTAGCTGGCTCGGTTAGCACGGTCGGCTAATGCTGGTCGGCACGGAAACGTCCATTTAAAAAGAAACATAAACAGCTAGCAGCCCCTGGACCGTGAGCAACACACAGTCATAAAACATTAGAGGTGCTACGTTAATTTGTTTGGCGTCGTTAGCCGTAAATTAACGCTAGGAGCTAATTCACAGGGTTAGCTAGACTGTGAGGCAATGCTTCCGTTTTACTAAACTTAAACCAGCTAACTAGTTCTTTCGTAAGCTAGTTAGGTCAAGTTTACTTTAGGTAAACAATAACAATTAACGGTTAGTTTCACGGAGTCAAACATTAGCTGTCACTCTCTGTTCAGGTATTGGAAGTTTAGTATTGAGATGTTACCTGGAGATACTTTGTTAGTGGTGGAAGAAGTACCAAAATAAAAGTACTAACACTACACTGTATAAGTACTGCATTACGAGTACGAGTCCTGCATTGAAAATGTTATGTAAATAAGAGTATGTAAATAGAATCAGGAAAATGCACGTAAATTATCAAAAGTTCTGAAAAATGTCTCCTGTGACTTACACTGTTGTTCATTACATCATCAGTTCATCATTACTCATGCATGAAAGTAACAGCATAATTTTTATTGCTGTAGTTGGTTGAGGTCGAGCTAATTATGTTGTACAGAACTGCAACCAATGATCATTTTCATTATGGATGAATCTGCTGATTGTTTTCTCGATCGATCAATACATTAATTGATTTGTAATAGTTCAGAATATTGAGAAAAACTCATGAATTTCTCCCGAGCTCAAAGTGACAGCTTCCAGTCAACAGACTGGACCTTAATTATTAAAATCAGTAAAAGGAAAAGCAGCATATCCTAACGTTTCAGAAGCTGGAAGCATCACATTGGGCTTTTTTTTTAAATATATATATATATATAAAATGACTTTTACAATTATAAGAATAGTTTCCAGTCAATTGACTAACTTTTTCCGGTCCAGTAAATTATATGTATACATAAATGTATAGAAAAGCATCATATTTTATCAGCTCTTCATATGCCAGAAATCCTAATTTGTTAAAACAACATGTAACAAGTTGTCAAATGGATGTAGTAGAGTAGAAATGTAGTTAACTAGTTCTTTCTTCAGGTAAAAGTTAATAATCAACAGAGAGTTAATTAAAGGCTGCTGTGTTTGTTGACAAAGGCAAACACAACAGCAGGATGGATCAGTGTTGACTGTGTAAATTTGCGTGTTATCTTTAAAACAGTGCAGTTCTGTGCTACCAGTAAGGCTTCTACTGTAAAACATTAGCTTGTAAAGTAATTAATATGGGGTATGACTTTCAGAGAAAGCAACATATGTGTGGAAAGAGTCATATCATTATTCCAGGTGTTGTCCAAACAAAACGTTCCACTGGACTGTTTGTTGGTTCAGCTTCACATCCAAAGAGTCTTATTATTTTCAGTTGATTATTTATCATTTTTCTGTTTAATCAAGTTCCCAGAGTCCCAGCTGACGTCTTCAAGTATCTTGTTTTGTCCAACTGATATTCAGTTTACATAAATAAACGATAATACAAAACTAATCTAATCTAAGAGATTAGAGAATACTTTTTGTGTTTATGTGATAACTAACTCAGAAGCTGTGAAATTGTTCCAGATGAATGATGATCTCAGCTCCTAAGTGACGTCATTTTGACTTCACGTTAATTTGACAGATTTGTGAACTGAGTTTGGTTTGCAGCTCTCTGTGCAAGGGAGACGAGCACTGACTTCACCCAGCTGATAGACTCTACTGTTAGAGACTGATCAGTAGGTAACACAGGTGAATGTTACTGTACAGCACTGCTCAGCTCTAATGTGACTTATTGTGAAAGTGACAGATAAAATAAAGTCAGGGTCTGTTTTGTACCGTCAGAGTCTCAACACAACAACATGTAGGAATGACCCGGTCTCAGCTCCCTGTTCGGTTCAATGTAGTGAAGCTGCACCACATTAATTTCACGTGTAGTGTCACTGATGACTGTGTGAATTAGTGCTGCAACTAATCACTATTTTCATAATTGATTAATCTGACAGTTAATTATTCGATTAATCACTTTGTCTATAAAATAAAGAATAATTAATAAAAATGAATAGAACTGAAACAGTTAGTCACTCAGTCATTAGTAGTTCTCCAAAACATTAATCAGCAACTATTTTGATAATTGATTAATTGTCTTTCCAGCTTCTCTCAACCCGTCGTTAATACTTAATGTGCATTTGTCATAATAAACTGATTATCTGAAAACTGAATATTACAATAGTAATAATAACTTTATTTATATAGCACAGTTTACAAAGTGCTTTGACAAACGAATCACAAGCAATGATGGTCAAAAGCTGGACAGAGATAAGGTCGAGTTACAGAGGCAGGACAAACAATATGCCTCAATAAAAATAAGAACAATTGGAGGCAGCAGATGTCGCGTGAAAACACACGCACGAAAACACAGTAAAAGCTATAAAAGGTCGATATGGAGACAATAAAAAGACGACATCACATAAAAGCAAGTCTATAAAATGGGTTTAAGACATATGTTACCTCAGGATGTGGATGATGTGCATTTTTATTTTTCTATATTTTATAGAGAAAACTAAAAATGACTGATCGATTAACTGAGAAAATCTGTAGATTAACCAATAGTTAAGGTAATCAGCAATTGCAGGTTACCGTTTTAGCAGATAAAATTGCGCCCGAAGAATTTAGTTTTTTGAATTTTGTCTGCTCTTGTGTGTGTTTGTGTATTTTTTTTTTTTTTTTTTCTACACTAAAATGAAAAGGTGTGCAGGAGATGTGGTGCTCTACACAGTAACTCGAGGGTGATTTCAGACACAGACCTACACCACCTGACCATGTGATTGTGTTTTTTAAATAGTGTAACTTGAGGTTGTATCCTTGTTGACTTCCTGTGTCTGTATCAGAAACAGAAAACAGGCCCAACATCCTGGTTTCTGGACTTTGTTCAGAAAACCCAGAATAAACTTTATCAGCAATTTGAGATTTTTTCTAACTCAAGTTTTTAAAAGAGTGCGTGATACATCAATGTTGTATTAAGGGCCTTTCTTCATTTATTATTGCTCTGCATGCTTATACATGATCTTCATAACTTTGTCATTTTAATCTTATATTCTGTAACTTATAACTGGTGCATTTACAGACTGTGCACATATATACATATATATACACAGTCTGTAGCGGTGTATCCATGACTACAGCTTCTTCTGGCTTCTTGTTGCTTTTCTGACTCCCTAATCCAGTGAATCTTGAAATGAGAACAGTGATAGAAAACAGCGGAGAGGTCAGAGGTCAGATCCCTGATGTAGCTGTATGGACAGACTGCTGGTAGGAGGTGTAATGGTGGAGAGCAGTAGAAGTCTTTCGTTTTATCAGATGCTACAGGAAGTGAGTTAATTCCCACAGATGAATAGTTAATGTTTCTGGCTCTTTTCCCGCCGCAGCCCGTCCGAGGCCGAGCCAGAGTGAGTCACGCGGTGGTGGTGATCTTCCTGGAGTTCTTCGCCTGGGGGCTGCTGACTACGCCCATGCTGAAAGTGAGTAAACACACACACACACACACACACCTCATCCACATCAACACACATCACCAGCTGAGTGTGTCAGGCCTGAACCATAAAGACAGATCAGTGGGTTATCGGAGGGTCAGATCAAAGCCTGCCCGACTACCGACCAATCGGATCACTGGACTCACTGAGTCCTCATTTGTACGGGATCCCGGCATGGACAAAACAGTTGACAATAAAGTGACAAATAATAAAAAGCAATAGATTTTTGCTGTTCCATGTTTTCCACGTGTCACTCTGAACAGTTAATCGCAGTGAATAAATAACTATTAAAGCTTCATTGTACCTGCAGAAGGATTCTGTCATAAACATGCACCACTGCTCATCATGGTTGTGATGTGAGTCTGAATACAGCAGGAGACTGTTGCTTCACACGTCCACAGGAGACTGTAAAAGGCAAATATTAAAATATCAGTCTCTGGATTTAATGAATTGATATCCGATTATTCAAATGAAGATCAATTTTGATCGGACAATCAATTTTTTTAAATTATTATTTCCAAATAGCCCCAGTTGTTGGTTGATTTTTTTTTTTTTTTTGTGAATATATTTTATTGGCTTTTGGGAGTCATCGCAGCACATTACAGAAAAAACATAAACTTGAAATGCTCATGTTATATCCAGCCCCTTGCCCTCCCACTGCCCCAGCTTCATATATTTTTAAACAAATTTAATTTATAAACGACAGTTAATCGATAATCGATCATTCATTGACATTCCCGTCTTGGACCGGTCTCTGTACTGGACACAGATGAAACTGAGGCCCGTGTGAAACGTCTGACCTGTAGAACACTAAGCAGACGAGCATGTGTCTCACCTGTGTGGCTCAGTGTGTCTCCTGCTGCTGTCAGTGAACAGCGTGGAGCCTCAGTCAGAGGACAGTCTGTCCTGTTCTGTCCTCCTCCGTTTGTCCTTCAGCAGCCGGACTCTGCAGGTCTGGGTGCTGCTGTATCACAGTCTGCGTCTTATGAGCAAAAGAAGCACAGTGTGTGTCACGTGTGTGTGTTATTTAAAGCGGTACATACACATTTGTATTCTTAGTCACCATCTTCTTCGTCTTCTGTTGTTGGGGTTTCAGGTCCTCCATGAGACGTTTCCTCAGCACACCTTCCTGATCAACGGCCTGGTTCACGGAGTGAAGGTGAGACCTCTGTCACAGCATCGACACACACTCCAAAATAAAAGACAACAACAGGAAATGATCAGTGATTTAAACAGAGGAGGACAAAATGACACCAAACATTTCACGGATGATAAGAGGAACAGGTGGTGACAGGATGTAAAACCTCATGAAAGGAAATAAAGTGACAGAGAGCTGCTGTCACACATGTTGGTGTATTTACTAAATAAAAAGATATGATTCACAAACATGTGTTAAAAAAAGATCGATCTAGAGCAGTTATTACCTGCTGCTAGTTTTATTTTATTGTTCTGGTGACAAACACATGAACCTTTATTTGTCCAGAGGAATCCGGTTCCAGCCTAACCCTCTTTCTCACTGACGTCTCTCTGTGTCTGGACCTGTGCAGGGTTTCCTGTCCTTCCTGTCAGCTCCTCTGATCGGTGCGCTGTCAGACATCTGGGGCAGGAAGTCCTTCCTCCTCATGACGGTCTTCTTCACCTGTGCCCCCATCCCCTTCATGAGGATCAGCCCCTGGTGAGTTAGTGTGTGTTTGAGTCTGTGTAATGATTGATCGTAAACTGCTCTCCTCTATTTCCTATCACAGTAAACTGAATAGGTTGATCAGACAAAAAGAGACACTTGAAGGCATCACTGTGGACTCTGGGTCTCTTGTTTCTTAGAGAACAGAACAAATCAAATATGAGGCTCATGGTGAGCTGCAGGTCTGCTGCCGGTATGTCGGGTATGTGGAGGGTCTGCTGCAGCCTGGTTCACTCTGCTGGAGTCTGACCAGTCACATGATGTTCATGTGAGCGTGCTCGCTGAGAACAGCCTGTCTGGCAGCAAACATGTTAACCCTGAACACACGAAGACACGATATCCAGATCAGCTTTGCTCTCATCAGACAGGAAACGTGTTTTCACTGCAGCGTCATTGTTCACAGTGAAAGTAGCTCTACTGTAAGATGAAGCTGTCTCACCTCAGGCTGCAGACTGAGATCAGCTGATGCAGAGCCTGAGATCAGTCACATGGTTTGCGCTTCACGTTTCACAAACCCTCAGTTCAGTTCTAAAGGTCGAAAGAAAGTTCTGGACCACTGCAACAAAACATGAGTGTGAATCAGACACTGCAGGAACTCTGGACTTTTATTTTGACATTTTACCTAAAGCAGCTTTAAAGGGACAGGAGCACCACGCTTCTCCTGATGACCAGTCTGTACCTGAATATCTCTCAGGAACACTTTGAGCGAACTTCTTCAAAGTTGGCACAAACATTCACTTGGACTTAAAGATGAACTGATTAGAATTTGGTGGTCAAAGGTCAAAGGTCACTGTGACCGCACAAAACACATTTTTGGCCATAACTCAAGAATTCATTCACTAATCATGACACACTTTAAAACAATTGTCTAAAAGGATAAAATGATGAAGTGATGACATTTTATATCCAAAAGGTTAAAGGTCAACTTCACTGTGACATCATAATGTTCCGTAGAAACACTTCTGGCCATAGAGTTCTGCAGGAATGATCGTAAAACCTGGAAACTAGTTAGCATTTGAGCACTTCCTGTACCTGTAACTTTACCTCCTCTCCAAGCGTCTCACCGTGGCAACATAATACAACAGTGTAAATCCAGACAGCCAGCAGCTGGAGTTTTCATTTTCAAGGTTATGTTGAGCCCATATGTCAGAAGACGGCATGAAAAGGCCGTTTGCTTTGAAAGAAACGTTTCCCTGTGTTACAGTGTGAATGATCTGATGTGTTGTTCCTGTCTGTCTGTCTGTGCAGGTGGTATTTCGCTCTGATCTCAGTCTCAGGGATCTTCGCCGTGACCTTCTCGGTGATCTTCGCCTACGTCGCCGACATCACAGAGGAACACGAGAGGAGCACCGCCTACGGCCTGGTAACCACAGCGTCATACTGCATGTCAGCTGCCGTGTTCACGAAGCATTTATCTGACCGTGAAGAGTTCTCCTAAGTCTCGCTGAAAGTTACTAAGTTAAAGTTTCATCCTGAATCCTCTTCACAAAGCTGCTGAGACCAACTGTTACTGAGGAAAAATTAAAAGCGCAGAGCTGAGAGTTCGACTCTGTTGCTTTAAATGAGTCTCATGGACGAGCTCGTTTACAAGAACCACAGTGATTGGTTGATGAAAGATGAAAACACATGCACAACATCCCGCAGTAATAATAATAATAACACTGAGAAATAAGCATTATTAGATAAGAACGGATTAGGTGCTGTAGTGTGGAGGAGCAGAGATGTCACAGAAAAAGTAATGAAGCATTTCCTTAATTTCATATTTTAACAGACATTAAAAACAGGAATTTATAAATGAACGATTAATCCATCTTTTTCCAGCTGCTTTTCCTATTAGCTTATTGATTAGCTTGATCATTTAGCTTCTCCTGTTAGCCTCTCCACGACACTGGTTTTTCCAGCACTTAAGGCCCAGAGTGTCACGGAGAGGCTAAATGAAGAAGCTAAATGACTGAGCTAATCGATTAGCTAATTCAAAGTTTCCAAAACCTTTAACGATTCTTTGTGATTTGGTCTTAGTGAGTTAGGAGTCCTCGCCTCGACTTCTAACTTCTCCCAGACTTGGGAGCTGCTTTTAGCGCTAAGTGACTCTGTGAATTACTCTTAGTCAAAAAAAATAAGGAGTCCTAAAGTCAGGACGGAGTTTCTCCTCAATCGGCAAGTTCAGCTTCTTGTAGCCTTAAGATGTTTTGTGAATACGGGCTCTGATCACTCAACCGGTTCTGTCGGAGGTGACTGCCGCTTTGTCTCAGAGCGACACCGAAACCAAAGAGACCACATCCTCCCAGGTTCTGAAGCTACAGAGTCAGAGCTGGAGTTGAAGCCTCCCAGCTCTGATTCCTGACTAAATGCTCAGTAATTATGTGGACATAATGGAGCAGCACTGCACACCATGTACTTACAGTAATAGTGTATTGTGTGTGTGTATAATGGAGGTGCTGCTCTGTGCTCACAGAGCTGGCTCTTGTTGTTTCCTGCCATTATAGATGAGCAGAGAATCGGTGTCACGGGCCGGTCAGGAAGCTCTGAGTCATCTGTGGTTCATGTTGAGGCTCAGACGAGAGGGAACAAAGAAATACAATACATACATGTTCATTTATCACATATTTACACACACAAGCTTTCTGAGCTCTGACCTCCTGCTGTGGGTGTTTGCTCGGTGTTTCCCCTCGTCTGATTTTCACCCCCGTCTGATGGTTAAACACCGGTTTAAAACTGAAGTCCTGTTTTCTGTCACGACATGAGATGGTGGCAGTTTGTGTCACAGTTTCAGTCTCAGTTTCAGAATCATCACACACACACACACACACACACACACACTCTCTTTTTCCAGCAGAGTTTTGTATGAAGTGAAGTTCTGGTTCATTTGGCTCAGGTGCTGCACCTTGAGAACACAGTGGCGCATGCAAATTTAAATCTTTTTCTTTTTCTAATTCATTGCATTTCAGTCTTTTGCGATGTTTTTATTGCACATGTTCATATCGCCATGACGATTGAAATCTGATTCATCAGTCAGCACTTCTACCTACAAACGAGTTTACGGCTTAAAGTTTTAGATTCGGAAGTAGAGAATTATATGTCTATGGAAAATATTCTTAACTGTCGCATAGCAAGAATATTGCATCTTTTATATATATATATACTATAGAAAATCATTATACCCATTCGAAACGAGTACGAGTTGAAATCAAAACCTATTTAAAAAAAAAAAAAAAAAGACATGTTCCAGATTCGTTTACTAATTTTCCTTTTTACAGCATCAAATGACAAAAAAGGCGACAGCTCTGAAAAATATTAAGAAATGCAAAACTAGGATATCGGGGTTAGAAAAGTTTTTAATACCTTGTCCAGAATTTTTAAGATGTTATTTTCACTTTGATTATGAGGGTTATAATGTGAATATACAGCTCAAAAAGTTTTAATTTTAATTTCCAGGGTGTAATCTGGCAAAAGGTTAAGATTTTCACATGGTATGACGACTTTCTAGTGTGTGTGTGTGTGTGTGTGTGTGTGTGTGTGTGTGTGTGTGTGTGTGTGTGTGTGTGTGTGTCTCAGTGAAGTGTCAGCTCAATAATGAATGTGACTGCACTTCTTAGAAAAAGCTCTGCAGTGAACCGGCACATGTGGAAACTGTGAGATTTGGTGTTCCTGTCTTTCTGAAACGAGTCATGATGTGAGCCACAGTCCATCCATCCATCCCCCCCCCCCCCCCCAACACATTACAGCCACAGACATTTTCCTCACCTTCATCCCTGCGAGTCTCCAGATCCGGTTCCTCCTCATGGTTCTGGTCCCACACTCTCTCCTCCTCTCACTCCGTGTGTTCTGTGTCTCCTCAGGTGTCGGCGACCTTCGCGGCCAGCTTGGTGACGAGCCCGGCCATCGGAGCCTACCTGTCGACCCGCTACGACGACAGCCTGGTGGTCCTGGTCGCCACGGTGATCGCGGTGGCCGACATCGCCTTCGTGTTCTTCGTCGTCCCCGAGTCTCTGCCGGACAAGATGAGGCTGACGTCCTGGGGCTTCCCCATCTCCTGGGAGCAAGCCGACCCCTTCGCTGTGAGTTCAGAGACTGAAACACCACAGTGTGACAGCACGAGGTCAGAGGTCACATATAGCTTGTTTTTAACCAGCTCTCTGTCACACAGTAAGTCAAAGGAGAAAACAACATTATACCAACACTGCACATTTTAAATCTGTCCGTTCAATACCCAGTTTGTTCTGTGAAGGTCGACACTTGACTGAGTTTTTTTTAGCCTCTCTTGTGTCTGTGTATAAACCTTTAATAACTGTGTCTAACAGACTCTTTGTTAATGTGTTAATAACAGCTCTGACTCATGTGGCAGCTGCTGTGTGAACACATGATGAACGACAACAGTGAAACAGCTGGACTCATAGAAAAATATATGTATGAATATATTTACGAAGAGCCCTCATTTACAATCAGAATACTTTATTGATCCCCAGGGAGAAATCAGTTAGAATTACTTCCTCGGCAAAGACTAGAGAAGTAGAATATAAAGATAAGATATTAAAACATGTCCTTATACTGTGAATAAGACAGAGGGATGTGACCAATCATATGTTTAGAGCAGAAGAGGCTTTTCATAAATGCTGCTCCAAAGAATGAGAATGACTCATGATCAGATGAAGATAGAAACTTAAAATCACGTCTAGAAGACTAAAAACACACGTGTGTCACTGTCTGTGTGGAAGTTTTCTTTATGTATTATTTCTATATTTCTTTCTTTATCAACTTTTATCTATAAAATAATGCAAAGGTTAGTTTTTTAGCTGAGGTTGAGCTGATTCTGAATCTGTGCTTTTATTAGGAAAAACACAAAGGAATGAAAAAAAGGAAAAGTCTTATTGTGGGTCTCAGAGGGTTAATATATATAATATATAATATATTAAGAAGAAAAATAAACATTCATATCTTGATTGTTTGGTGTGTTAATAATAAGATGACAGGATTCCCACCAGGTACTCTGTCTGCCAAATGATTGATTGATTGATTGACTGACTGACTGACTGACTGACAGTCATATGGGTAGATTGCGCTGACAGCTGCTGGTGTTGTGTGTTCAGTCTCTGCGTCGTGTGGGGAAAGACACCACGGTGCTGCTGATCTGCGTCACAGTGTTCCTCTCCTACCTGCCTGAGGCCGGACAGTACTCCAGCTTCTTCCTCTACCTGAGACAGGTAACACACACACACACACACACACACAATCCCTAGATATTAACCCTTAAATTGATTCTAACCTTCACCTTAAAACCACGTCTCCACTTGTCAACGATCGGTGGAGGTGGTGAGGCGTTTACCAGCTCATCACGCAGAAAAACAGATCTTAAAGCTTAAAGCGACTTCAAGTAACTACTGTCAAAAAAACTAGAGCAGGTAATCAGACGTTGATGTGGCTCCGACATCGTCTCTGTTTAAATCCGGGGAATTCAAACACCGGTGAAACCAGCTCCAGTATCGTTTCTTATGCTGCGCTGCGCTCGCCGCTCGGTTCAGAGCGCTGTCCGCTTAAATCGCGGAGGACAGAGCAAAAATGGGCGGAGTTTTCAAAACTTGTAGCGGGACCATAGACTGTATATGAGCGGACACATCCGCACTGCAGGAAGCCTCCGGTGTGTTCAGTTGCTGAAAGACGCATCTTTCCTGTGCTCAGAGGAAAGCGTTAGCGCTACATTCACACATAGTGCCGACCTACAACCCGCCACAGACTGTTACAACCACGGACATCTTAAAACACACCTGACATACCTGGGTAGAAATCTGTCGCCAAGAGATGGCTTATATTTCAGAGACACAAAGGATCGGTTTCTCCTCCATTTTCGTTTTGTGCCGTATTTCGGTTGCTGTGTTTCAATTGGCTGCAATGGCTCGCTGGACAGCAGGTGCGTCCAGGTGCGGCGCAAGCGATTAGAAGTAATGGTTTTCAGAGCGCAGCGGTGCCGACAGTATTAGTGTCATAAAAATCATAAATAATGCATCTGCAGGTTAAAGTTTCTGACTTTTTGAATTGTGATTCACCAACATGAAAATAGAGAGAATAGAATGAACAGACAGAATCTGCACATTTTCCATTTGTTGGTGACTTCAACATATTTCACTTCCTGTATTCTAGACTCTGTTTATTGACTGAGCACAGAAACAAAATCTTGGTTTTAAAAATGCATCAAGTGAAAGAAAATTGCTCATTCCTCTGTGCCGAAGCTGTCGTAGTGAAGGAAGCTGAAAGGACAGAGACTGACTGACAGATGTTCTTCTGTTCTCAACATGAACTCTTAAATTAGTTTCACATTTCCTCCGTCAGCTTTGAGTCAGATCCTGGAATGAAGACAGAAGGAAATATTTGATTTATTCTTTAGGAAGAACGGCTTTATTGAGTGTTTCCATGAACAGATTCACTTCATCCACACAATCAGTTTGTTTCACATGAATCTCAGAGAGGGAAAAGAAAATAATGAATCATCTCCTCATTGATTATTATCATGATAATGACACTTTGATCAAACCTCATAGACCTTATTGTGAGTGGATTTGAACAACAACAACATCTGATCTGACAAACACACGAATGTAAATGTAATTCTAGATTTCTGTCTTTACACAGTGAGAACAAAACATCTGTGATAAAGGAAGGTCTGGTGATTTCTCTGTTCAGACCCAAACAACAACATACAAACACATCAACACAAACATCCAACAAACACTCAGAGCTCAGAGAAGTTTGTGTTCTCATGTGGAGAAATGTGAGTTCAGGAGAAACTAACATCATCATGAGCAGTGATATCCTCCATGGCTCCAGATCGGCCTAAAGTCACTCCTACATCGACACCACAAGAAATGAGAAGAGCTCAAAGCACCACCCGTGATGTTTGATTGACAGGTGATCTCTGTGCCGCGCACAAACACAACAACCAGCTCTTAGCAACAATGATGGAGACACAATAACTTTAGGAACCAAATACAAATCTGGACTTTTATCTATGTGAGCTTATAAAACTCAGCTGTGCCTCCATCACCCCAGTAAAGACAGAGTCCAGCATAGAGAGGCTGAGGGAATGTGGTCTGGACTCTGTGGAGGAGAGTCATGGTTTCAGAGACGCTGTAGAAGGACAGAACACCTGCTGTGTGATCCAGGTACACTCCTACTCTGGAGGACAGAGGACCTGAGACTGGAGTGATGATGCTGTTGAATCTAAATGAAAAACTGTTTTGATCACAATCTAACGACCAAGATTTGTCATTATATCCAAATAAAGTTCCCCCCCCTGCTCTGCTGATATTCTTGTATGAGACTGATACAAAAACTCCTCCTCCTCTCCACTCCACCTCCCAGTAACAACGTCCAGTCAGACTCTCTCTACTCAGGACCTGAGGATATGAAGTGAATCTGTCTGGATGATCAGGATAAGACTGTTGTTGACTCATTACTGTTGCTTTTCTGTTTCCCTCAGATAATAACAGACGTGTATTTGCTGTGTTTGGATCCAGTGTGATTTCCTGTGAATATCTTAAGAAGTCAGCTCTGGTCTTGGGCTCTGGTTGTGACAGTAAAACATCCACTTCAGTCAGTGTCAGTGAGATGTTTGTCCATGTCTCTGTCAGGACGTCCTGTAGTTTCTCTCTGAGCTGTGACACAGCTGCTGTCACGTCCTCAAAGTGTCTCAGAGGACGGACATTGATGGCGGATGAGTCTGTAGAGTCACTGAGTGGTGACAGTGAGGGGTAGTTGTGTAGAAAGTGGTTGTGATCCTCTGTGTGTGAGAGCTGCTTCAGCTCAGCGTCTTTCCTCTTCAGCTCAGCGATCTCCTGCTGCAGCTTCTCCTGAAGCTCTTTGACTCGACCGGCTTCAGTTTCCTGCTGGGATCTGATCTGCTGCTTCACATCAGAGCGTCTTTTCTCCATGAGACGGATCAGCTCAGTGAAGATCTTCTCGCTGTCCTCCACTGCTTCATCAGCAGAGCCGTTGAGAGCCTCCACCTCCTGTTGAAGCAGCTTCACATCTTTCTGTCTGTCCTGGATTCTCTGCTGGATCTCTTGTCGCCTCAGCTGGAGCTCTCTCTGCCTCTCAGTCCTTTCTGCTGCAGCTGAGACTGTGTCGTGGCCTTTATGTTCATCCACAGAGCAGAGATAACAGATACACTGCTGATCGGTGCGGCAGAACATCTTCATCACCTCATCGTGACGAGAGCAGATGTTCTGCTGGAGCTTCTCGGAGGGCTCCACCAGCTTGTGTTTCTTTAACTGAGCTACATCATGATGAGGCTGCAGGTGATTCTCACAGTAAGAGACCAGACAAACCAGACAGGATTTAACAGCTTTCAGTTTCCTCCCAGTGCAGACATCACAGGCCACGTCTTCAGGTCCAGCATAGCAGTGATCAGCAGCAGCAGCTTGGAGTCCAGTCTTCTTCAGCTGCTCCACTAAAGCTGCTAACATGGTGTTTTTCCCCAGGACAGGCCTCGGTGTGAAGGTCTGCCTACACTGAGGGCAGCTGTGGATTCTCTTCTCATCCTCTTCATCCCAGAAGCTTTTAATACAGTTCATGCAGTAGCTGTGTCCACAGGGAACAGCCACCGGATCCTTCAGTAGATCCAGACAGATGGAACAAGACAAGATTTCCAGCTGATCTCCTTTCTGTGCCATTTCAGCTCTCGGTGACAACGACTGTCTGAGTTTCACTTCCTCAGAACTGAAGAAGGAAGAAGAGGGAGGGACATCAGGCTTTGACTCAGTCCAGGAAGTGGTTTGATGCTGTGTGTTTAACCCTTTTCTACACTCCAGCTCATTTCTCATTTGAAAAGACTGATCAACTTGTAGGTGATAAACTCTTCTTGAGACGTCTGGGTTCAGACACGGTTCCTTGGTTTAGAGGGAGAATAGAGAAATGAATCGCTGCTGTAGCAGCAATTACATTTTCAAATATTGTTTTGACTGTTTGAAGTATTTTCGGATTAAAACAGGTTAAATTCAGAATGTAACTCTTACTCCCACAGGACATGAACGCACCATATCATTTACCTAGGAAGCTGGTGACATGTTAAGTTCTGTCCTTATTTGTTTTGCTGATTTCTACGTCAATCTCTAATAAGAATGTTTTATTCCACACAGAAAATGTCTCTAATACAGCGTTCACACCATCCAAACAATTACAACTCAAACCAAGAATAATTATAGCTATCCAGGTCCAAGCAGCTCACAAGCCTTTAAACACCACATGTAAGAATTACTCTTGAAGTTTTGCTGAAGCAGGACTTTGGTGTGAAAGTCCTGAAGAAAATCACACGTCATTCTGCTGGTTTCAGGAGAATCATCGGATCATTTGGTGACTTTGAATCCAACACTGAGCAAAAAAGAAAATGTGCATACAGTACAAATCACAACAAGATAATTAATATCACTGAGGCCTCACCGTTTACTAACTAGATGATTTAGACCTAAATTTCATGAGAATCGGATGAACTGCCTCGGACTTCTTCATTTTGGGTTTTAAGTTTGATTTTTTTTAAATATGGCTGGAAAATTAAACATTTTTACAACGAGGTCAAAGTGCAAAGATCCAGATGATTTCAGAGATCAGAACAACAGAGCTTTGACAGTAGCCCGAGCCGTTTTTGGAGGAAATTGCACAAACGCACACAACTTCCGGTCAGGATTTTCACAATAAAACAGAAACAGAAGTCGGGTCGAGATTGAGATCGTGGACTGTGATTCCACCTAAACACACTCTTCAGTCATCCGGGTTTACAACCTGTTTTGAATCATTTCCTCTCAATCAAACATGATGTTAAAGGTGTTTCTCTGTGAAGTCTTGTGTTCACTTTTGTTTCTGTCTCTTTGTGTGTCAGGTGATCGAGTTTTCTCCTGCAGCCATCGCCGCCTTCATCGCCATGGTGGGAATCCTCTCTATAGTCGCTCAGGTACTGAAGCAACCAGCTGCAGGAGCTTCTTAACCACCTGGTCCTGGAGGAATCAATATTACTTCACATTATTGATATTATTGATAATATGAAAACACACATTGATCAATTGATTTATCTCAATAGAAGCTTTCACATGACGCAGCTGTTAAATCATCAATGTCTGATGATGATGAGGATGTGATGAAGGTACAGTCTGTTGATTGACAGTGTGGTGTAAAATCAGTGATGCGTTCAGGATCTCTCTCAGTCGCGTGTTAAAGACACTGCTGCTCAGATGTGAGATGTGTGTCTCACAGTTAGAAGATGAAATAATGTTCAGATTGTGTTGTGAATCTGTGACTCTAGTCCTGTACCACCATCATCATCATCATCACCACCATCATCTTCTCTCTGTGTCAGACTCTCCTCCTCAGTGTTTTGATGAGGACCATCGGGAACAAGAACACGGTTCTTCTGGGTCTGGGCTTTCAGCTCTTCCAGCTGGCCTGGTACGGCTTCGGCTCCGAGCCCTGGTGAGTCCAGCCGCCGACGCCGTCGCCATCAGCTTCAGTTTGTGACAATTTATTTGGGTCATTTCTCACATTATAGATATTTGATTTATAAAATGATAAGTATTGATAACCTGCCTGTCTCTCAGGAGGCCACAACATTAAACTCGGCCGTTCATTCACATTTGAAGACGATAACATATAGTACGGCTCCCACTAATGACTTTTGTCAAACCACTAATCTATGGACTATTTTATCAAATAGACAATTAATCAAAACGATTCATTTTCCTCCAGAAAATCTAAATGACATGATCAATAAGTCCAGACTCAGGTGTGAACATTTTCTCTAACACTTAATTCAGTGTAACTTCTGAGGCAGCAGCAGCAGCGACTTCATGAGAGTATTTATCAGCTACAAGGACCAAAGACATTAAGAACCGGTGTTTGGATAAAGTTCTTACGGTTCTTTTACTTGTTGTTGCAGTCACAGTAACGTTCAGCGCTAGTCGTCGTCTGCTCCAGTCGTCCTCAGTTATCAGTTCAGTTAGCAGAGCGAGCAGAGGACTGAGCGACCTAAATGATTAATACAAAACACATATATGGAGCTTAATAGTGACTGAGCGCCACAAATAAATCAATGTGTGGGAAACGATCTGTTGTCGTCCATTATGGCGACTAATCACAGCAGCACTAATAGATAATAATAATATTGATAATCTGCTTTGTTAATATCAAGGTTATTGAATTTCTGAAAACCTAAACTCTGTAAGAAAACTTTATTTAAACGTCTGCGGACACATTAATGTTTGTTTGTTGTCTTTGTCCTCGTCAGGATGATGTGGGCAGCAGGAACTGTAGCAGCCATGTCCTCCATCACCTTCCCAGCAGTCTCTGCTCTGGTGTCACACAGCGCGTCACCTGACCAGCAAGGTGAGTACCCCTGTCTGTCTGTCTGTCTGTCTGTCTGTCTGTCTGACTGACTGACTGACTGACTGACTGACTGAGTGACTGAGTGTGTGAGGGGAGGAGGAGCCCTCTAACACATGGTGTGTGTGTCCAGGTGTGGTTCAGGGGATGATCACCGGGATCAGAGGTCTGTGTAACGGTCTGGGTCCGTGTCTCTACGGCTTCATCTTCTTCCTCTTCAACGTGGAGCTGAACGACATGGGGCCGATGGCGGGAAGACCCACGCAGAACACAGAGGTACACACACGTATAAACACACACACATTCTTTTACAGGATCATTTATACAGAAACTTTTAAAACAGAGTCAGAGAGAGTGGAGCTCAAATACTGGGTCTTCCCCAGCAGCCACTCTTGTTGTTGTTGTTTCCCATGATGCACCACTGCTGCCGCTCCAGTCCAGCATTTGCAGCCGAGATGGTTTCAGGAGCAAAACGTGAATCCACACAAATGAAGAGTGAAGTTTCTGACATGCTGGAGTTTTGTTATTCACGTCCACAGGAAGTTATCACAGAACCAGAAGAGGAGAAATGATGGGGAGGTTTTGGATCATGGATTTTAATTTCTTGTTTTGTTTTTTCAGACGTTTGTTCTCCACTCGTTCTGTTTCAGACACTTTATCAAAAAGCAAGCATTTGTTCTGAGGTGGGAAAAGATGAAATATTTAAACTTTACTGACGTTTGAAATGTTGGAAATGTCTGGAAGCAGCAGATGTTTGAAGTAGTTTGTGCTGTGGTCCAGCAGAGGGCGCTCTTACACTTCACTACCAGTAAACTAAGATAATCGATAGAAATGGATGGATGGAGTGTAGCGAACAGAGCCGTGCTGATTGGACGATCAGGACCAGGAAGTTTAAGTGTTGTAGATGGTAAAATGACCAACAGGCTGTTTACTGACTTATCACAGAGTCTTCAGGTCAAAAAAGAGAAATCTGAAATTTCAGGGGAAAAAGTCGTAATATTACGAGAATTAAAAATGTAAAATCATCGCCTCCTCATGAAACGCCATGTTTGTTGTTTGTTTCCTGTTTGAGCAGCGAGTCAGCGTCACAGAGTCTGTTCATCTGAACGTAGTTTTTAATCAGGGTTCAATTTGAAGCCGATCCCTGGGTCTTTGATATTTCAAAATAAAAGTGTTTATATTTTTACCTGCTGTATAATGATGTGTCTCTGTGTCCGTAGAAGTCCGTCATCCCCGGCCCTCCCTTCCTGTTCGGAGCGTGCGCCGTTGTATTCGCTCTCATTGTCGCCATCTTCATCCCCGAGCACCACCGGCTGGCCGACGTCAAGACCTGCTCCGCCCGCAAGTCCAGCGGCGGCGCTGCTGCGCACGCTCAGAACGCCAGCCCTCTGGCCACGCCCACCAGCGACGCGGAGGACATCGAGCCGCTCCTGCAGGACAGCAGCATGTGACTGACAGCCGGCCCGGCAAATCGCGGCGCTGAGGCCTGAGCTCTACTCTGCAAGTCCCGCCCCTTTTAAAACAAACCGATTTCAGCTTTTATTTTTTTCATTTTTCTTTTGTTTCCTCACATCCAGAGTCAGGTGACGTTAGACGGCAACCACGCTGACGAGCTGATGTTCTTCTGATTTACATGACAGATTCACAGCCTCGTTTTCTTTTAGCTGCACAAGCTTCGTCTTAATAAAAGTTTAGATGGAGTTTGTTTGTAGTTAAAATATTAAAGGAGCAGCTGCTGCTTCTGGTTCAGACTTCCACCTTTTTCTTGTCTTTGCAGAAATCTGAACCAGAGTTAACGCAGCAACACACAACATTTACATTATTAATATAAAGAAGCCATTCTTCTACTTTAGATCAACTTCCACCATTGTTTATACCTAAAGCCATTTTCAGCTCCTTGCCCAGGTGAGCTCGGGCAGGTACGACCAAAGGGCTTTGAACCATTCATGAGTCTGTCGCCATGAAACTCAGAATGAACACAAGTCAGAGAAAAACCAGAACCTGGTCTGGACTGAACCGGTCTAGACCGGACTGAACTGGTCTGGACTGAACCGGTCTGGACTGGTCCGGTCCGGTCCGGTCAGAGTAAGAGCAGATGAACCTGAAACTTGGAAACATTTTCAAATGTTGAAATAACCAAAACTCTTAATTTAAAAGTGTGATGAGGTCGTTGATCACTGAAGGAGAGAAACATCTTACTACAGGCGGCTGTTGGTGTTTTCCCGCTGAAACATCATCTTTAGATCAGATTGAACTTCACTCAGACAGAAACTCTCGGGGTTTCTCCCGTATGTTTGACCAGACATCAGAATAGAGGGACAGGTGTGACAGGGAGGAGCATCAGGTGCATGATTCACATCACAGCTGCAGCAATTAGTCAGGAAATGAATCATCAACTAATTTGATAATCTGTTAATTATTTCAGTCGTTTTTCAAGCAAAGATGCCAAATATTCAGCTCCTTCTTTCTTTTCTTTAACTTTATTATTACAAATAAATGATTAATGATGAATGAAGAAAATAATCAGCAGATGAACACACACTCCAACACCAGGTCATCACCCAGTAGTGGTGCCCCCCCCCATGTGGCGTAGACACAGTGACGGGGCCGTACTCGTGTGGAAACATATCATTAGTGTTTGTTTAGATTTTTTAATGAGCAGCGGTCTGTGTTTAACGACGGAGTGTCAGGGCCACGCTGAGGGGAAACATCTGAAAGATGGAGAATAAAGTCGTAATATTTCAAGAAAAACACACACAATCTTTTCTTTCTTAAGGAATATTACAAGCAACCAAGACTCAGTTTCTTGATGATGATGATGATGATGATGATGAGCCAAAAGATGAAGTTTCTCCTTATTTGTGAAATAAAAACTTCATTCTCATAATATTACGACTTCATTCTCGTATTTTCAGGAATGTTTTCCTGGCTGTCGTCGTGTGGAACGTTTCTCAGAGCCGTCAGTCTGGTTGCCGCCTGAACTTCCCTCTGTGTGAGTCTGCTGTTCCTAACTCCACCCGTCAGGGCTGCAGAGTTCAGGAGATCAGATGCCCCTCTCTGTACAGGACCACTGGTGGAGGTGGGGGTGGGGGTGTGTTGGATTCACTGCACAGCTGAGACCAAATGTCTCAAAACTACAGACTGTTGTTTTCAAACTGAAACTTTTCACCAGGACGCAGAAACAAGGAGAGGACGATGATGTCATCACCTCCTGGGAGAGGACGATGATGTCATCACCTCCTGGGAGAGGAGGTGGTCACCTGCAGTGGGCGGTGTGGGCCCAAGGTCCAGGTGTGTTTGACTTCTGTTGCCACTGTTGTGTGTGTGTGTGTGTGTGTGTGTGTGAGTGTTCACATGCTGGATTTCTTGGCTCTTGGCGGGTAACCGTTACTATGACAACAGCCGCACAGCAGTTCGACTGAGCACGTGCAAGCTCTTGCCTGGCTGTGACATCATCGGCCTCTCCTGCTGGGAGAAAACAGAAATAACGACGTGTTTAGAAAGTGAATTGAAGCAGTTTGAAGTGTTTTCAGGTGTTAGTACGGAGGCTGGGAGGAGTCAAAAAGGTGTTCAGTCATTTCACCTCCAGGTTTTGTTGTTTACAGCTCTGGCTTTTTAATTCAGCCTCTGAATTAAAAAGATTCTGCTCTGGGTTAAAAAGCTCATTTCAGTCGTTCAGGCTCCAGATTTTCATCATTAAAGATCTTGATTTTTAAATTCAGGCTCCCGCTTCAGTAACTCAGCTCTTTGTTTTTGTGATTCGGCTTCTCACTTTAGTGATTTGGGCTCTTGATTTAACATCATCAGATATGTTTTGCCCTCTTCCCCCTGTAGAGGGCAGTAGCAGGTCAGGTTTAGGTTTTTATCTGCAGTGTTGTCAAAGTTTATCCTGCGGATTATATTGAACGGATCTGTTGGTTTTTAACAGACAAGTTCATGAATATATCTCAAGATCAGAATCAGTCGTACGCAGCTGACTCCTCCAGGCCTCCGTACTTTTGATTTATCAGTTTCAGTATCAGCTCAGTCGACGTCCCCTCGTCTCTTCTTCTTGTGTTTAAATACTTGAAGTGTGTTCAGCCTGTCACTTATTTTCAGGCCGTTTGATCTGAAAGTCTCCCCCCCTCCTCCTCCTCCCCACCCGCCTGCCACTCCACGTCAGGCAAATGAAGCGCTCCGAGTTACTGATGTAGTTTGAACATGTGTTGTGGTCTGATCTTCACCTGTGCAGTGAACGCTCGATCGGCAGGTGTGAAGAACCAAACTGTGCCATTTAGTTTTTCTTCTCTGACCTTTGGCCTTTTTGTTTTAAAGTTTTAAAGAGGTCAAACCGCCACATTCCAAAAAGAGGAATCCTCTGATGTGCAGGGACACAACATGAGATCTGTAGCTGCTGAGCTAAAACATGCTAACATCACATTTCCGCACGTTACAGTCTGAAAGGATCAGACGCTGACGAGATGCTGTCGGGAACTTCTGCTCATAAACCCATCACTGAGCTTCTGTCTGTTACTGTAACGCTGCAGCTGCAGATGTTGGTTCATCCTCACATCTGTCACTCAGTCCAAATTATTGGAAATGGGACAAATGTTGCATTCAAGTGATATCCGACGTGTACGGTGGCCGTCAAGGGACAAAAACGCTTCCGCCAGGAGAAACGAGATTCAAAAAGATTCAAAAACACATGAAAATACAAAACAAATACAAGAACGGAAACAATGAGCTGCGGGGAGGAAAAAGAAAAACATGAAGCACTCTGTAAGTGTGAACACACTGAAACACATGAACCTCAAACGAATGCAACAGAAAAGATTGTGCAGATCCAGACGACACAAGGCCAGAGCTCCAGGCCTCCAGGGGGAGCTCTCAGAGGAACACCCGCACACTGGATATGAGCTAACGCTAACGCCTGCTACGTTTTCTGTTGCTCTTTATAATACTGGAAAAACTACAAATGTGGAAAAGAACACAAACCCTTTTTATGTCGCCGCCTCTCTTCCCTCATACTCACGCATTAGGTCCAGGGTAAGAGGTCAAAGGTCAGGTCTGGCCTCTAGGGTCAAAGCTAATGCTTAAGGCGATCTTCTTAGAGCTCCCTCTAGAGGCCTGGAGGACTTCCATTGGTCAAAGGTCACAGTTACCTCACAAAACACTTTTTAGCCATAACTCAAGACAAAATTTCCCACCAGTGGTTGATATTTTATGACTCTGGATAAACGGATGTGACCTGGAACTAGTTTGAGTGGCGGCGGCAGGATCTCCAGTAGTTCATCGTTTCTGTATCCGCAGCGTGTTTGTTCATGTTTTTGTTTCGACTTCCTGCCGCTTGTTGTTTCCGTTCTTGTATTTGTTTCGTAGCCGTGTTTGAATCTGCATCGCTTGTGAATCGGCAGCTCGTTTCTCCTGATGGACGTGTTTTGGCCCTCGTCGGCCACCGTACGCGTGTGGGGAAATAGAAGCTTCTGATGGGGGGAGCTGGCTCGTGTCTGCCCCCTGGTGGCTGTTACAGGTTCATGTGAGACGATGTCAGCTTTAACATGAACGCAGCATTAATGTTGTCACGGTTACAGAAACACCTGAGTGTCCTGATGATGATGAGGAGGAGGAAGATGATGGTGTGTAGCTTCATGAAGCACAATCATGTAACAAACCACAGCAGATTTGTCCTTGAACGCAGCAGCAGGTCGTTTTCCTCCAGACTCTGGATTCAGATTTACTCTTCATCTCCTCGACTCCGCTCAGACTTCACTTCCTGTTTCCTGTTTGGTTTCTCTCTCTCTCTCTCTCTCTCTCTCTCTCTCTGAAGATGTCAAACAAAGACAGATGGACCTACAGTATATTTTTCTACAGTCTGAAACCCTGCGCAGTTGTTACTGAATGTCCCAGAATGCACCACGTTGTTATGAACTTGTATCCTGTCTGTTGTGATACTGGACTGAGCTCGTCCTCCTCCTGTCCAGCTCCGGGACTCTGGTCCCGATGCTGCTTTCACGTCTCACTGGACTTTTTAGCTTCCAATCCCGGTCCTTGTAATATTGATTATCAGCTGAGTCTGATCAGATTCATTCATCTAAATATTGATTTAATATGTGACTGACACCCAGTGAAATCACAGCTGTAGAAACTGAATCTGACACAAGCTGCTTGATCCAAATACTGAAGGTTCTGGTTTAAAAATATGAAGTTGATCAGTTTGAATTATTGATCTGATCGTGGAGAAAATGTGATTATTTTACGTGTTAAGGTTCAAGAACCAAGACATTTTGTTTTCAGGTCGTCCGTCTCATTGTCGTGGACGTGATGTCTCGTAACACCTCGACAGAACTTCTTCAAATTTGGCGCAAACATTCACCAGGACTCAAGGATGAACTGATTAGACTTTGGTGGTTAAAGGTCAAAGGTCAAGGTCAGTGTGACCTCACAAAACTCTTTTTAGTCATTACTAAAGATTTCACAGCAATTTGTTTTGTTTGTTTTTCTTTGATCAGAAAGTTCCTCATTACCATAATAATCTTTCCACTTTAATGTCATTTATTTCGTTTAAACAACATTTAACATTTGACGTCTTCTATTGAAAACCGTCTTTATTATATGTAACTAAAAACTCGAGTGGTTTCTCGTGTCGGTTGCTGAAACAACGTGTGTCCAACTGATGTAGATTTGAGTGTTGAGCTTCGAGAAGATGAGGTGGAGAGTTAAACTTTCCGGTGGACGTGAAGGCAACAACACGAGCACCAGAAAATCAGCTGTTACCATGGTGATGAATGAAACTCAGTCAGACGTGTTGTTAAGCTTTTACAAAGTGTTTTTCTATGTCCGTCACTGAGTGATGAATCTTTACATTTACTGAGAAGAGCTTCTTTGATTTTAGCTGATGATGATTAACTAGAAAAGAAGAGTAACTGATGCAGTCAGACCCCCCACCCCCGCCCCCACCCCCACCCCACCCCGCCCCCCCTCTGTGTACATGATGCAGAACATTTGCTGATGCTGCACTTTAATTCTCTGAACGTGTGCCTCTAATCATT